TGCACACTCACATGGTGCACACTCACAGGGTGCACACACCACAGACTCCCATGCCCCACACCAGTAATCTCTCAGTCCCCAGCACCCGTTCTGGGGCCGATGCTGATGGACACCAGGCTGCAGGCACTCTCCAACCCTCCTCCTTGCTGGTAACACCACAGCTCACCTAGGTTGTACCACATGTCCCGGATGGCTGCTCCAATCTTGGCTCTCATGTCCCCATACCTGCCAGGACGGTGTCAGTTCAGCATCACTCCATGGGCACAGCCCACGGCACAGCTTCCAGGCCAGGAGCCCCAGCAGAGCACATTCCAGAATCCCCATCTGCAAGCACGGCTGGGGCTGGGGCCGGGGCCCTGACCTGAGGGGGGAGAGCCACTCACTTGGCCAGGATGGCGGTGCGCTTGGCCTGCGAGAAGTTCTCCAGCTGCAGGGAGTCCTGGGTGAGGAAAGCCACGGCCAGGTGGAAATAGTTGTTCCAAAGCTGCGGTGAGAAGAGAGGGACAAACGGCAGGCAGAGCAACACAGCGTCTGGCGCATCCCTGCCACCCTGTCAGGGCCGGGTCGGTGTCCCCTCACCTGCAGTTCGAAGCTGCTGCTGCTCAGGAACATCTCTGTCAGGGTGGTGGCAAACTGGTTGATGGCACGCAGGAACTCCCTGCAGGATTGGTGTGGGTGCTGAGCAGAGGGCACAGCCAGCCCACGGCACACAGCCCACAGCAGAGGGGGAGCAAGGCTGGCAGCCCCCGTCACGGCGAGGTGAGGGTTGGGGCGCTGGGGTCGGAGCTCACAGCGCGCTCCTGCTCACAGCCCCACGGCCCCTCATCCCTCAGCCTTCATGGTGCAGCCCAGCACGGGGCCAGGCATCCCAGGCTGCGGCCCCAGACTCCTCTGTGGGTCCCTCCCAGCTCGGGGCTCCTCACCGGTTCTGCACCATGTTCATCACCATCCAGTCGGGGGGGTACACCGTCTTGCCAATGAGGTCCTTGAAGAGGATGAAAGTCTCCATGAGGAAGTCCTGTGAGGAGGAGACGTGAGGGGCTGGGGCACAGCCGCAGAGCCGTCCTGATGCAGTGCTGTGCTGAGCACCAGGGCTGGGAGCACCCAGGGGTGCAGGAGGTGCCGGCAGCGGGGTGGTGACACGAGGGCCGGGCTCTCGCTGCACGGCAGGCACTCACCATCAGCTCGGGCCGGGAGGGGAAGGCCTGGATGTAGGAGTGGTAATGGTCTGCGTCCATCTGGCTCAGGATGGCGGCCATGCACGCCACGTAGTGACTCTGGCAGAGAGCAGCTGGGTCAGGGGCTGCAGGGCTGGCACCAGGAGGGCCGTGTACCCCCCCCTCCCAAGGCTCTGCTGCCCTGGTAGCCCTGCCTGCTTCCCAGCTCTGCCTGTGCTCTGCTCCTTCTCTGCTTCTGGGGTGGGACAGAGGTGAGACCCACACACTGCAGCAGGGGACATGGACATAAGCACAACGCTTTTGCTAGCATAAACCTGTGGATTTTAAGATCGTTTAAGTAATATGTGGCTGTAAGTGCATCGTGGAAGTGGCTCACAGTGAGGAGGCCAGTGTATCCAGGCTGCCTTTAATAAGAGTCCCAGTTGGAGCCATCAGCTCCAGCTCTGCCCTGTGTGCCTGTGGCTCTGAACCAGGGCGAGGGGGGCAGGCGCAGCGTGCTGCCAGGACTCCCTTCTGCACAGCAGGAGCAGCCATGCTAATCTCAGGTCTGCATTGTTCGTGGGACGGGAGAGGAGCAGCTGGCAGAGCAGGGACCACCTGCTGCTCGCCCCTCTTTTTCATCTCCCCTTTAGCCTGTTAGTGCAGCCCATTATTGATGATGCTTCTAACATAAAATCTGAGTCTGCAGCAGACTTTGAAGTGCTTTGAATATTAACTTGTTAAGAGGAAGCTTTGGTGACGGGACAAAGCTCTTGGAAACTCCCCGATGGGCATCTGAAGCCTGAGAGCTGCAGGGTCGGCGCTCCTGGCCCCTGAAGACGGGCTCTGCTCAGCCTCAGGTCTGAGCTCGGGGCATTTGGCTGCAGACCAGGAGAGCAGCACGCTCACAGGGGGAACACAAAGCAGCCCAGGTGCCCAGGATGTGCCTCTGTGTGGGGGCTGGGAAAGGCCTGGGCTGCCTGTGGGCACATCGGTGCTATGGGCAGCCCTGGGACAGGAGCGGCTGGAGCTGGGGATGGAGGCAGCTCTGCAGGCATCCCATGAGAAGCAGATGAATGACGACCCCATGAATGCCAGTCCTGCTATCATCAGTGTGGAGCTGCAGACCTGAAGCTGAAGGACAGCACACGGCACGGCCACAGCAGCTGCACGCGGAGCTGCAGAGGCAGAGCTGGGGATGAGCTCTGCTCGACGTGCACGGCCATCATCCCAGCAAGGCCTGCTCCAGAGTAAGCACTCAGTGAAGCAGGGGTTGCCACAAATCCACCCACATCCCTGAGCACCCACATGAGCAGTGGCACAGTGTGTGCCGGGCTGTGCGACTCGCTGTGCACTGGGGAGCAGTAGCAGTTCACACCTTCATAGAGGTCTGGGGGGAATTTCTCATGCACCCAACAGTGTGGATGTTACCCACCACCAGCACGGGGAGAAGGGCGGCCCAAGCCAGCACAGCCCCCTGGCAGCAAGGAGGAAGAGCAGGAGGAAAGTTCTCTGCAAGGCAGAACGTGCCGGGGATGTGATGAGATCAGCTCAGCCACCTGAAAGCAGCTGTTCTGGTTGCAGCTGGAATTAGATCCAGGTGAACTCCCTGCACGGCCTGCTACACCTTGTTCAGGGGAAGCTGCATTTACATTTAAATTACATTACTGGTGAGCCACAGCCGGGTGCTGCTGCACGTACAGATACTCAGCTGGCAGATGGCGTATGTGCGGGGAACCGACCCAGCAGCCGCCCGGCACAGCACACGGCACGTCGACCCTTGCAGCAGCCCGCAGACCCACCGCTGGTCACAGACAGAAAGGACTCAGCTCCCAAATACTCCTCAGCAGCACCCGGAGCCGCCGCTCAGCCCAGCGGCCGCAGACTGGGCAGCATCGGAGCAGGAGAGGATTTGTGGTGGCCGCGGGACGCCGAGCTCCTTTTGGCCGCTCCGTGACGGCGCTTTCCCACCTCCTGCTCCCCTTCGGCCCGCTCGGTGCAAACACCCGCTGCTCCCGGTCGGGGCAGGCCGAGAGGTTGGAAGTAACGGGGCAACACAGCAAAGTCCGGCGGCGCGACCTGGGGGAGCCGCACGGGGACGGGACCGAGGACGCGCCCGGTGCGCGCTGCCGGCACCCGGGTTGGGCAGATGGCGGTGCGTCCACGCGTGCTGCGCGGACGGTGTTCAGTGCGGGTCCGGCGGGGTTCCCCGCATCTCCCAGCCCCGCCGCTAACAGCGGGCGGGCACGTCGCCGCCCCGCCCCTCCGGCTCCTCCTCCCGGTACCGGCGAGCCCGCGCGGCTCCGCCCCGGCCGTGCTCCGCGCACACCGCCCTGCACCGCCGCCGCCGAGCGCCAGGTACGGGGCTGGGAGCGGGGAGCCCGGGGAGGGGCGGCCGGGTCGGGACCGGGCTCAGCCCCGCGGGGATCGGCCCAGCAGCGCGTGGGGGCCGGGGCGGTGCGGGGAACCCCTGGGCCGGAGCGTTGCGGGAATCGCAGGGCCGGGACCGGGACCCACGGGCGGCGCGGGATGCGCGGTGCTCGGAGGGGCGCGGGGCCGGGATGCCCGGGAAGGAGCTGCGGTGCTCGGGCGGCGTTTCCCGATTCTCCCCGAGGCAGCGGCGCGATGCTCGGCGCCGAGCAGCCCCGGGTGTCATTGGGGTCAGGGACCCCCCGGGCTCCTCTGCTCCGCCGCCCCGCCGGAGCTCCCCGGGAAGTGCGGGGGGCGCGGGGCCACCGGGCGGGGGTCTCCGGGGGGCGCGCGGCCACGCCGGAGGCAGTAGAGTGTGCTTGGGGGAGGCGATTCCGCGGCGCTGGGATTCGCCGCGTGAGAAGCGCCGGAGCCCCCCGGGTTCTGCCCCGCGCCGCAGCCCCTCCTCGCTGCCGCCCGGAGCGCGGGGCACCGCCGCTGGCAGAACGGTCCCGGGGGGCACACGGGCAGGGAGGGCTCCGGCAGCGCCCGCCTCGCTGCTGCCCCTCGTTAGCAGACACGTCCGTCAGCGGAGCCGGGCTGTGTTTGACACGCGCACACGCGATGCCGGGGCTGTCACTTCGGGTACCGCACGCCGCGCTGACGCGGGGACGGCCGCCGGCGCCGGAGGGAGGGATGCAGCCCACGTTGCTCCCGGCGCCGCGCGCTCAGCTCAAGGCCTTCGCGCGAGCAGCCGGGCGGGGTGAGACGTGAGGGCACCGCGCTCCGGGGCTGCTCGGCTGCCCCCTCCCGCGGCGCGGGCTGCAGCCCCTCGCAGGGCCGCGGGGGTCAGCAGGAGGCTCTGCGCGGAGCCGTCGTTTCGGTCAGAGCGCAGGCGGGTGCGCAGGGCGATGGCTGAGAGCCGGCCGTGCAGCTGCGCCCGCGCGGGGCTGGTGGGTGGCTGCGCGCTCGTGGCGGGGCAGAGAGCGGTGTGTCAGCCCGCGGTGCTCAGCTCTGCTGGCCTGCAGGGATGCGCCCTCCCGGACGCTGGGAGTGCCGGCTGCGAGCTGTGCGCTGCCTGCATCCCTCTGAGCCCGGCAGGCGGCTCCAGGCAGCGGTGGGCACAGTCTGGTGGTCCCGCTCAGCTCCTGGTGGGGGTCGTGTCTGCAGCACTCTGAATCCATCCAGTGCATGCGGAGCAGCAGAACAGGTTTAAACACGGGAACTCCTTTAGACAGAGGTCATCGTCTTGACGAATTACAATTATTATAATTGCTTAATAGTATGGTAGTGCTCAGAGGCCACAAATAATGAGTGGGTTCGTTTCCATCTGCAGTAACAATGCTTCAGTCGTAACCGGTGCTTCTGGACGGTGTGTGGCTCGTGTGCTTATAGCTGTGATCCAAATCATCCTGGCTGTATTGTGGGTGGGGAAACCGAGGCACGTGGCGCAGAAAGACACTCACTAATTCCCAAATTCCCCTGGCAGCGAGTGTTGTCTAAGGCACATAAAGATAAAGGGGGGGGGGGTTCCTGCTGGATGGCAATGAGAATCCACTTAAAGGCAGGAATTTGTATTCTGAGACAACGTTCTCCGCACCGGTGATGGGAGCTGCAGCCGCAGCAGCCTCAGCTCCCACTGCCCTCACAGCAGTGGCTGCTCTTGGGGCTGCAGTGTGTGAGTGGCATTGGCACGGGGCACTGCTCCACGCAGGGCTGTGTGCTCGGAGCTGCAATGGGGCCATGCAGCCCCCCGGGGGGCTGAGCCCCCCTGGACAGGCACACACAAAGCACAGCATCGTGACCATCTGCCTGCGAATGCAGGACGCAGAACCTTTCCAGCTCCTTCCAGAAATGTGCTCTGCAGGCAGCTTGAGGCTGTCTGAAAACATCCTGGTGTGGAGAGGAGCTGCGGGGCTCCCCAGCCTGCAGGCTGCTGCTGATGCTGTGGCTCCGGATGCAGCCCCATCCCGGCTCTGTGAGGGGCAGCGCATCCCTCCGTGGAAGCTGTGAGGTGCCTCGCGATGCACTGAGCCTCCCATGACCACGAGCCTCCAGGCCATGTCCTGTTTCATTTGTCCTGTAATTACTTCGGGCAGAGCCAGCCCAGCCTGCAGGATCTCCGGCCAGGTCTCACGTCAGGTGATTCCCCGCATCCCTGTACCTGCAGGGCCGTGTCTGGGACTGGAGGAACATCCTATTGCCCACACCATGTGCTGGGAAGGCAGCAGCCACGCCATCCCTTGTTCTTCCATACCCCCAGGAGGGGCGGCCGAGCAGTGCTGCAGCGATGCTCTCATTAAGCACAGCCTTGGGATGGGAAGCCACCTCCTCCCCTCTCCCTGCTCCACACGCACCAGCAGTGCGGCCTGTGCTCCTCCGTGCTCCTCTGGGCAGCTCACTGCCTCCACACCTCTCATCTGAAATGGTGACAGCCGCTCCTGTGCACTGCAAAGAGGTGGTGGTGAAGGCAGTCCCAGCGAGGGCAGCGGCGCTGCTGCCACGACGGCTGCGTTAGCCTTGGAGACAGAACGACTCGGCCTCCGTGGGCCCCTAAAAACCTCCTGCAGAGGCTTCGTATGTTGCTGCACTCCAAGCCACAGCGAGTCCCCGTCCAACTGCACCCACGCACGTGAGGCTGAAAGAAAGGATGTGATGCTGCGGTGACATGAGGTGCCGGGAGGACGTCGTTGCCTCTTCCCTGGTCGCTG